CATGCTTGCCAGTCAAATCATACAGGTAGTTCTTGATCCATGGAAGCTTTGGGGGCTGTTAAAAAGTTTTCTCGTTTCATTTCTGAAAATAATCTTATATATAATGAATACATTGGTGATGGCGATACTAGTTCGTTTAACCAAGTAAAGTTATCTAAACCTTTTGAGAGATTCCAATTACTTAGCTAGAATGTATTGAACACATTCAAAAACGTGTAGGTACTCGTTGCAGAAATATTCGTCTAACTTATAAAAGTAAAAAGTTATCTGATGGAAAAGATGTCTCAAGAATAGGTAGACTTACTGATAAAGCTATCAATACTCTTCAAAATTACTTTGGTAAGGCTGTAAGCAGAATATTGGTGATATTTATTTAATGAAAAAATATATATCGGGAAACTTTGTTTCATAATACAAACATTTTGGATGAAAATATTAGGCATCAGTTTTGTCCACGCACCAAAGATACCTGGTGTTTATGGCAGGCTGACAAATTAACGGGTATTAAAACATACAAGAAAAACTTAAACCTACCAATTACAATTAAAGATTTGTTAATGCCAGTTTGGCATGATTTATCAGCAGAATTGCTATTGTTAAAATGTTTGTATGGCCAAACTCAAAATAGAAACGAATGCTTAAACAATATGATCTCGAAAAAATTTCCAAAGGAAATTTTTGTGTCGCGAAAACTTCTTGAAATCGGTACTTGTTCAGCAATCATTGAATTTAATGATGGTAAATCTGGTTTAAGCCCAATAATGCAAATGCTTGGACTGCCAGTTTCACAGTTTATGCATAATGCATTTAAAAAAAGTGATATAGAGCGCATAAGAAATGTTCATAGAAAGTCATCAATCAAAGGCGTAAAAGCAAGAAGAAAAATAAGAGCCATTAGAAAAGGGTTTCTAGATAAAGAAAAAGAAAATGAAGAGATACCTGCTTATTCAGGCTCATATTAAGTAAATCGTAATATTTTTTGTCAGTTTATCTTTATTTTTGCAATTTTCTCAGTATTTAATTTTACCCATTTTGTTAACTTTAAAACATGATATTTCAAGATCAGGATAAGCTTTTAGGTTGAAATATTTGCTGTGTATTCTTAAGCTTTAATGGCAGGAGTTGAACTAAAACTATTATTTTATACACAAAACTTGTCATCTTATAGAGCTTTTTATAAATCCTAACTACTTTGTATTATGACTTGGTTTTAGTTCAACTCTTGCATTACGATACTATTTTGTTTACAATATATCATCAAAATATCAATTTTTCATTAATAATCGAGGCAAAAATACTTGATTAACTACTTTTTTAATTTAATTATTTCTAAATAATTTATTTTAAATAAAAAAAAAAATAAAAAAATTGTTGTGCGTTGTCTTATTTCCAATTTTATTTTTTATGGTTATGTACCACCTTAAGGACGTTTAAAGCGGTTTTTACTTTATTAGAACATTTAAGGTTTTTAAGGAATAAAGGGAACCCTGTACTTGCTCAACCTTCAGTATTTTAATGTTGGTAGCTCTTTAAAAACTGAATTTTCAAAGAGCTAGCAAAATCTTTATTTAAATATTTTTTCAAGTCAATTACCAAATTTTTATTTTAATATTAATAATATTTGTGGATGGGGCTAAAAACCCGCATCTTGATAAAAAAACATCAGTTTAAATAGTGGAATTAAAATTTAACAACTTTTAACTCTATAATAAGTTGTAAATTTATTATAGAGTTAAAAGTTACTAATAAATATTATAGAGTTAAAACTCACTAATAAATTTCTTTAATTAACGCACTTTTTTAATTAATAACTTTAAGTTAATTATTATTAAAATTCGTTAATTATAAAGAGATAAGTAAGTTAAAAAATAAAAAAATAAAAAATTTATAGATTAATTAGACGTTTTTTTCTTAAACCGAAAGACAATGGAAAACTTGACAATATATAAATATATAAAAGTTCTTAATACAGTAAAGGAAACTGCAACTTGAACTGGCTGCCAAAAGACAGTTCAATGAGCATAAGATTGCGTCGCAGCCAATAAACAAATATCATGTCCAAACACTAGTAAAGATGAGTAACGATTGTTTTCAAAACGAAAAGCCAAATCATCAATCAACTACAACATCATGATCTCAGCTGAAACGTACGACGTAGTCGACAATATAATGAATCCTGAAGAATCAAAAAAAGAAATTGATATAAAATTAGCAAATTTCTTTTTCAGAACTGGAATATCTCTTCGTCTCGTTGCATCTAAAGCTTTTAAGAATTTATCTATCTTATGCATTATCAATATCGTACGCGAAAACGCCGTCAGGTTTGCTTCTTGATAAAAAAACAGCTATCATATCTACAGGAAACTTGTAAATGAGGAAATTAATTAGGAAATGGTTTTGAAGCGTTTTATATTCATTATCACCTCAAATATGTAAATTGCCTATATGATGACACCGGAGTATGCAGCAGAACAAATTTTATTTTGGTGAGGTAAGAATGATATTATCAGTTTCAGAAACAATATCAGCAATTTCAGGAATAGCCTCCGAATCAAATCCAACAACTACTGAGACAGTTAAAAGTGAAACAATTGAATATGTTAGCGAAATGATAATACTGACAGCAAAAAATTATCGAAATATTGTTGGTCGTCAGAAAAATCCAGCAGTCTTTTAAGTTGAAATTTTTTTAAATGATTTGTTCATCAGCAACAATAGAGAGGACTTAATCGATTTTTCGATTTATTCATTGACGATTGAGAAATTGCTTAACAAACGTAAAAAAATTAGTTTTCATATATACCAGTAGTGTTTGGATGGATCCATACGTCGAAAATGACTGCATTTCAAAGGAAGGAGCATTTCTCAACGAGTTTGAGTGTGAAGAAACTATAAATGAGCAAATGCAAAAATTAATTAAATTTATTAATAAATTTAAAATAAATTCAAATTAAATGACAATATTTAGTTAAATTCACATACCATCCATCTGTTAAACTTGCATGCGCATCATATGCTTATAAAGCTTATAACTTTTGAATGGTATGCACTTATATATTAACCGGTATGCGCAAAACTTCAGAACCCTGATACATATCGCGAGGTTAGAATTATTTTGTTATATCTCCATGTTTTTCCAGCTGAGAAACAAAAGCTCAAAGTTTTAAATGGATCTGCAGACCAAAGAACACAAAAAACGTAAACAAAACCAATTTGTATTAGTTTTCTATACAGGATGCCACAGTTTCAAATAAATTGTTTTAAAATAGTTAAAGTGCAGGTGTCTGAATTACTAAATTCTGATTTAGAGATAGAACAATGGAATACACACTTTTGTTTATAAAATACAATATCATTTTGTTTTATCTCTATTTTCTGCTAAAAAAACAAATACAAACTAGTATTTTTTGTATATATATTGTGGCAAAATGAATGTATATTTTGACAATTAAAGAACTACATACCCCTTTACATACAGCCCTGTTTGTTAGAATAAAATTTTATTTTACAGTAGTGAACAAATTACATAAACACGCTATTTTGTCTAAAATTCAATTTAACAGAGAAGATAAGTAATATATTATCTAAAGTATATACCAATATCTTTACAAAGAACTTAAACTTAAGTTATAAATTCTAATAGCATAACATCTAAAATATATTGTACAATAAAAAGATATCTTGTAAAAAATTATATTATAAAGTATAATTAGTTAACCAGTACCACTGGTTAATCCATTAAAAACATAACATTTGAGTAAGAAGCCCATTTAACAACATAACATAAAAAACATAAATGGTTTGATAATAAAATAAATTATTTTAAAATACTCTTATAAAATGAATTATTTACAAAAACCGTATACTAAATGAATAGCATGATGATTCAAGGCAGAAACCATTAGTAAAACTGCCATGGCAAAGATCGTACATTGTTAGAGGCTTATTTCATGTATATGATCTGAATGGTAGATGCTTTATTTGGATATAAGGACGAGCCAAAAATTACAATAGGCTTTAATAGCTAAAAAATGTTTGAAATTCAATTTCTTCATTTGGTGAACAGAAAATTTTTTTTTTTTTTGAAAAGCAGGAATTGCTCTGATCAAACCTGGGAACTAAATAAGGTAGGTATGGGTATTAAGGCCCACGTAACAGACTTTTGGTCATTTAGGCTTTAAAAAATAAGTTTAAAAAATATTTTCAATTGGTGCTTAAGAATAATCATTCCTTGATGTAAAAATGTTATCTGCATATTAAGGAAATAGTTATAACAAAAGTTATTCATGTTTTTGTAACATGCTTTAAGTGGGCCTTATTACCCTCCTAGGGGGGTAATAAGGCCCATGTAAAAAATACAAAAAATAAAGAAAGAAAAACCAGAAAAAAGTTTGGAAGCATTCTTTTAATGCATAGTTTATCTCACATTTATAAAATAATAAGTAATCTTGCATATTTATATATTTTAAAAGAATCAATTTTTTGTACAGCAGTGAATAACAACAGAAAATAAAAAGTTCAATAAAGAAATGTTACAAAGAAAAACATTAATCTTCACAGAATGGACGTACTAACTCTTCCTCATCTTCAGAATCATACCCCATGCACGCCTCATGGTACCATACTTTACTGACTTTTGCTGGCACAACACACAAAACCAATCATTCACATCCACACTTATAGACTTACTTTTCTTTGAACTTGATTTTCCTTTGACCTTATTCTTTTTATTAACAGCTTTAGAAGTAGAAGATTGAAAATCTTCTTTTGTCAGGGCTTTAGCAACATAGTTATAATTTTTTTTGCGACCAACCATAGCCATATTTTTTGCGACCAACCATAGCCATAATGTTCTTTTTAGCAGGACTCGGCATTAAATCATTTAAACTTGCATTAAGATTAATTTTAGGTTGATCGATTGAAACTGTTGAGGGACTGGGTTGGGTGACTGAAGCTGGTGAAGGCCCGGATTGGATGATTGAAGCTGATAAGGAACCGGGTCAAACGACTGAATCTCCTAAAGGACCGTGTTGGATGACTGGAATTGTTGAAGGTCCTGGTTGGACGACTGGAGTTGTTGAAAGATCAGATTTAGTAAGACACGTGTTAAAAGATGTATCATCAATTTTTGTCAAAGTACTTGGCAAAAAAGTAGTATCTGGAATGGCATTCGGGTTAAAAGGATAAATCCCAGTAGCCCTGAAACCAATTGTAATAATCCCAATTGACATGCACTTGTTCCATGCTGGTGTAAAACGTTTTCCAAATAGAGATTTGGTTATTCTTCTGTCTGGATATGTCTTCAAATATTTCATGACTTCTTCATCCCAATAGGACTCGAAAGCTTTAAAGACAAATTCGTCCATGGGCTGCAGTTCATGGGTAGTATTGCTTGGTAAGCAAAAGATGTGAACCCCATAGCTTTCCGCCTTTTCAACTATTCTGATATTAATACGGAAAGCAGCACCATCAATAATTAACAGAGTCTCTCCACTTGTTTTATATTTATTGAAGTGGTCAAGCCATAAAAGAAATGATTCGATGGTCATCGACCTCTTCTCCGTTATTAATGTAGTTGAACCTGGAGGCAAATTGTCACTGAATTCACTCTTCATACGAATACCTTTGAAAAGCACCATTGGAGGTATAGCACATTCCATAGAATTGGCACAGCCAACCACAGTCACATTTTCTGCATGTTCCTGAGCAACAAGATGAACTCTCTTCGCTCCCCGTTGTGCTAAAACAGCTTGTTGGTGATGAACTGTAAGTCTGACTCCTTTTTCATCCATGTTGTAGAGCATTACTGGAGTAATAAAAAAGCCATGCAATAACATTAGTTTTTCTAATTTGGTGAAATAGTCTTTAACAATAAACGGATTCATTTTTTCAGATTCAGCTCTTGCTGGGTTCATAAATTGCGCCTTTCGGCAGCTAATTTTTGGGTAGCGCCTTAAGAAAATGTTACACCAGTCTCTACCTGCCAGTTTTTCGTTGACATTTAAGCAATGATTGTTTGCTTTGATAAACTCAAAAACATATGCCCTCAAGAGTTTTGGTGTTATTGGCATGGCAATGTCTGACAATTTGAAAATTATTGATATCAACATTTGCTCCTGCTCACTAGAAAGCGCAGTTTTTTTTCCTAAAGACTTTTTCTGGGATCCTGTACACAAGTGGTTTCGTAGAGTTCTACGAGGAATTTTGTATTTTATGGCAGCTTCTCTTTGCGATGCTCCGTTTTGCACAGCTTTGAAAGCCTCGTGCAATTGACCTTTTCATTAGCAGCTGCCATTTCCAAAGACAATATTTTAAATATATATTTTTTTAATAAATAGTATTTAAGTCTATAAAAATAAATATATAATTTTTTCTTTTAAAAAACAACATTTTATGAATTGATTAAAAAGTAAAAAATAAATATTTTCAAAAGTAGTAAAAGTAAAAAATCTATAAATTCGAGAACAACGTTTTTGTTATTAATATTTAACAATTTTATTTATTTACACTAAAGTTTGTTGTTTATTGTTTGTATAAATTACTTTTCTTAACTATTTCTTTTATTTACGCTAAACTTGAGTCAGTTTCACGTTGTTTGTTTTAATTACTTTTGATTTCTTTTATTACGCTAAACTAAAGTTTAGCGTTATTTCTTTTATTATTTTATTTTATTATTTTATTAAAGTTTAGCGTATTTCTTTTATTATTACCGCTTAAATTAAAGACAATATTATATTATTTACCGCGTGTTTGGGCCTTATTACCCAATTTTTATTGGGCACTATTACCCGCTTTGAACCTGTTACGTTTATAGATTTGTTTCAACGCTTGCATAAATATTACATGTTGAGTAATGATAACGAATAAGTACTTAATGCAAATAAAAGCACTTGAAAAAAATAGAAGCATTATAAATATTTAAAAATGTTAAAACACGTATCTTAAAAATTAGACTTAAGCAATTTTTGACAAAACCAACAAAGTAATCTTGCTTTGTCGAACGCGCGGTAAAGAAATGCTGATTTTTTTTTGCTGCCAGTAATAAAACCAGATAACTCTAATATTTTAATGTCGAAAAGATGTTTCACAATTTATTTTTTCCCTAAGTTTGGATTAGTGGGCCTTATTACCCGCCGGGCCTTAATACCCACACCCACCTTATTTCATAAGGACTATGGACATTATCAACCTCTTGTATGCTAATTATTGAATTCCCTGCTTTAAAACTTTTGTTAAATTACTCTGATTTTTAGTAACCGTATCAAAAACTGACGTAACACGATAGGAATATGACTACTTTTTTGATGATTCAATGAAGTTTCTTCTAAAGTTGTTTAGTTCAGTTTTTACATGTTGTTCATAGGCCAAAAATCAACATACATACGTGTTTATTTTGATCAATGATATTTTGTGTATATTTGAATTTACAAGAATCTAACCGTCTATTTTTTTTGGTTATAGACTTGCATGGAACATTTTCTCCCTTTCTATTTTTTTATGACTGATCAGATTGTCTTAGCTGCTTTCTCTCATTCTGTATATATATATATATATATATATATATATATATATATATATATATATATATATATATATATATATACTTTTTTCAAAAACCTCTTTATTACAATTACATTTAAAAAAGTTAAAAATATTTTATTAGGGAGTGTAACACCAAGCCTCCATAAAATACAATGTGTAATATAATAAATATGAAAACAAAATAAAGCCTCTGCTAAATTATCGTTGAAAAAAAAGCGTTGTTGTATTTACACCGGATCTAGTACGAGGGCATGAAGTAGCAAATTTAAGTAAGTTAATGTAGCTAATACAATCATTCGGAGTGCAACCCTGAGAAACGTGAAGCAGATTTAAATAATTAAGTATAAAATATGTTTTTATAATTAGGTTTAAATCATTATTAACAAAAACAATTGTGTTTTCAATGTCGCTTGGCATTAAAAATTGTCAATTTTCGTGTTGGCATCGACATGTACCTCTCATGGTGTAATAAACTACATCACTCATTTTTACATCTGTAGCTTGGAGAATGTAATTTGGTGGATTTTTTTTATTTAGAAAAGGATTTATTTATAAAAGAAGTTTTTGAAATAAATCCTTCCTTATACTCATTATAAAGTTATAAATGAGCGCCACCTCCTATACACTGGCTGTCGCTGCCGGCTGATGGTTTGTTAATCAATCTTGAAAGTTTATCTTCATTGCTATCTTGGATGCGATACTGTGGTAGCCACTCATTTAATTCAATTTCTTGATCTGATTCAATAGCATTATATTTAGAATCTTTTCATGGTTTTTTAATATTTATTTGTTTTCTCGAACTAAAGAATATTTAAAATCAAAGAAACCTAAAGTGTCATCTGGTGTTAAGTATTGCCTTGCTCCTTATTTATAGTAAGTCATTCTTTATAAGAATTAGTGCTTTTTATTTTTTAGATATCTTTTCTTTATATAAGGTTTGTTTATAAACTTAATAATTAAAGCACCAGCAGCACTAAGTCATAATCTTTTTGCCTAAAAATCTACACGTAATATCCAAGATAGTATTGCTCCAATGATACTTGGAAGGGCGGCAGCAATTTTGACAGAAATCCACCTTAAACCGTTAGCCAGATGATTTAAATTTATTAGGTCCAGGCTTAGAATCAGACTTAGGTTCAGGACCTGATTTTGAAGACGTTGGGTTAGGAGCACTACCTAGTTTAGTAAGACTTTTAACTATAGATTCAATAATTGCTCCTATTGCTGTAAGAACAGCAAAAGTTGTTACCCTTTATTTGCATAAAACTCTCCGTATTTTATCAACTAAGGATAATTCTCTATCATTAAGTAATCTATCAATGAGATCACGAATTTTAAGAAACTGGCTTTAAGACTGTTTTTGTGTTTATTTGGCTGGTAGTATCGTCAAGATTCCTTTTAGTATCAAAATTGTTTTTTTTTTTACATACTCAAGTTCTTCTTTTTGATCTCTCAGCATCATTTGGATATTTTTCTTTTATCTCTTTCCTATTATTTTGTGTTCGTTTAATTTTTTCGCCATATTCTGTTAAATTTAAAAAAGTTTTAATAACTCTGTCAAATTTAAAAATTGTCAATAATAGATTTTTTGACTCGTAAATTCTAGCTCGAGCTCTGGTATTTTTAAGTTTGGAGAAAATATAAGGTTATTTAAACTACTTGACACAGATAAACTAAATTTGTTTCTTGTTCTTATGTTTAATCAAATTCTTCTTGATTTTTAAATGTTTTATCAAGCGCATTTTTTAGTGAATTAATTTTATTTATTATATCTCTCGTAAGTATTGGCTTATTCATATGCGTAGAGTTTTAGTTTTACCGGATGGGTATAAACTATTTGGTAGATGTTGAAAATCTGTAACAAGAAATAAAATGTCTTTTTAATGAGCATAAAAATTTATTTTCTCAAGTATAATGTGTTCATACGTTTAAAGGCACACATTATAAACTCGTCGATCAAGTGATCAAGATCAAGAGTGTATCGCGATGGCAATTTAAAAGAACGAGGCGATTCAATTGCTCTTGAGACATTGTAGTACGCAAATAAGTCTTTAAACTACGAAGATAAGGAAAAGAGCGTCATATGTACAGGAGGTAACAGACATACATAGTAAAATCATCACCAGCTTCATAAACTCGAGAATCAGTGGAATTAATTAAGAAAAAAAAAACCATCATGGTCTACAAGCTTGCTCAAAACTCATTCAAAATTGTTTTATAATATTCAAAGTATTCTTTGTGAAAATCCTAAACGAATCCTGCATTTAAGCACTGATCAATGATCAATTTTTCTACATTTGCTAAATGCTCAAATGTCTTAGTCGGTTCGAAATTTTTTTATTGCGTCATGTGTGCTTCCAGGCTATTTTGCAACAATATCAATGAACTTTCCGTTATAATCACACACCGCTTGGACATTGGTCGAATGATTTAATGATCTATTGACATAAACATATTCGTTCTTGGGTGGTTTTGTATGCAAACGTGAGTACCGTCTATTCATCCAGTTATTCTTGGAAATTCTGCCACATTATAAAAACTTACTCTGCTCTCATTTAAAACGTGTGGATCAGTTGGGTACTTAATGTATTCACTAACTCTTTTTGCAAGACTCAAAGAAACTCGGCGAATAATTCTAGAAATAGTTGGTTGACTTAAAGCTGCTGTAGAATCACCAATCACAATCTGGAAAGATCCTGTTGCATAAAATCAAAGTGCGCATAATACTTGATAGATTGGCGGAACACAAAAACTTTGGTTGTAAATCTGTTTTCAGCAAATTTTCCAAATAGAAAATAGAAGCTCGACGAAACCTAAACCTTTGATATAAGTCAACATCATCATAAATATCAAGTGGGTTGGTTCGGTCTCTAAATAACCTTTCACGTTTAAGACCTCGCCGGACTGCTATTTCTTGACGTCTTACTTCTGCGAAAACTAAATGCATACGAACGAGTAGAGGCATTGTCATTGAATATTTCTGTTCTTACTACTTTCAATTTTATTTTTATTAGACCATATACGTGTTATTGCGACAACAATAACACTGGCAGTATCAACTATGAAAGTTGAAAAAAAACGTGCAGCCAGAGGAAAAGTGAATGTCTCAGAAGAGAAATGGTTGATAATTTCAAAGTTTGAAGAACATAAAGATGTTCTTTTGTCTAAAGATGGAAAGGCGGAGATAAATAAACGAAGAAATCGTATATGGAATGAGGTAATCCTTTACATTATATATATTGAATAAAAAAATTAGTTTAGGCAGCATTATAAATTTTGGTACTTATGTGTATTTTAGATCATCGATACTGTAAACAGCTTCGGATTTGATAAAAGAACAGTTACCAGTGTGAAAGGTTTATGAGACAATCTTCTTAAAAATGCCAAAAAAATGAGATTTCATCAACAACAAAAAATTCCGACGGAGGGAGGACCAGCAGTAATTTTAACAGAAATCAGCCAGAAAATATTGGATATTTTTTGGTTTGGAAGGGGTGGAAACCAATAGCATTTTGTTTGC